AATTTATAAATTATAAATCATTATATATTTTCACCTCAGTAATAAAAATTGTCTAATATAAGCTAACAAACAGAATTATTAGATGATATTTACTTAATGTTAATCTTATGGTAAAATAATTTTACAAACAAAACATTTTACATTGAGAGGATCAAAAATACTGACTACAAAAGTATAGACTCAATACCAAGACCATCCATACACAATTAGTAGGACCAATGTAAATAGCAAAAAAAAATGTAGAGTAAAAATGTGGCAAACTGAATACCTAGTCAAATTAAAAAAAATATATTTCAGGTAGCTTTTAATTATTATCTAGTTGCAAAGGACAGTGAATCATATCCCGAAAAAAAATTAACATAGACACGTATTCAATGGTTTTTAAGTAAACTGAAAAACTGGAGTCGTAAAACTCGTAAAGTAACTTGAGGCAAAATGTGTCTTCTTATTACCAAGCAATTTTTTTAAAAACAGGCTACTTACAAGTTAATTTATTAGCAAAAATATAATTCTTTGCCATTAATTCATTCTGAAGCACCTCCTTTGTCCTCCAAGAAAATATAATGGTTAAATGGTATATATATTTAAATGTATCTTCACCAAGACACCAAGGTGACCGCAGATCGATTGCACTAGCAGTCAGTACTTACCTATACTTAATGAGCAGTTTGATTTTTTTGAAATATCGGTGCATGCAGGGAGTCAAAGCAGCAAAAATTATCAAACTTTGGATTTGGACATGCGGAACCGTCTCGCACAACCTCACAGAGCGTGAGAGCGACAGACCGTGTGTTCCAGTAGCGCTCTGCGACAACTTACCGACAACTTAAACATGACGCAAGATGTCGTAAGACATAATTAAGTAGTCAGTAAGTTACTAAGTTGTCGGAGAGCGTTACTGGAACACACCCAGAGCCGTATCGCCATAGCGCCAATTCAATAATTAATCAGCGCTAAATGTATAACATAACAATAAAATACTGTATTAGCTGTCTTAGTTACCCCTTCTTAACTGTGTTATTTATTTCAGACCGTAAAAATGCTTGAAATCATAAATAGCGCAATGTCTTGCATCACTGGACAATTTGAAAAAGTACATAAAATATTCGACTAAATCATGAATTACTAACAGTTAAAAAGCTTGTTGTCAATTCAGTTGAGAACTTTTAGTTGATACATTTTCTGTAAACAAAAAAAAAATTTTTAAACCAAATTGAGAATCCTAGCCATGATTTATCTTAACATATTATTTTCGACGTACATTGTGTATCCATATATGTAATTTAGCAATAGGTAACAGTACTGGCTACTAAAGCAATTCGTACCATATTTTTATGTATGTATACATTGAAATAATGCCNTATGGCTCTATTGTGAGTTGTAATGATCATTTTGATCAGCGCCATCTAGCGGTTTTCCTTTTTTCGCCAAAAGTGGCCTCTAAAATTCTGAAACCGAGCATAAGGGCTTAGAGCTATTTAGTCAATTATAAACCAGCCGCAACTTATTTTGTAGCTATAAAATAAAAAAATAACAATATATGTGTTTTTGGCGGCAAGTTAACAATCTATTTTTTACCAAAAATTGACCTTCTATGTATTTATACTTTTAAAGATAAATTTTCGAGTACAAGATAAATTGTTAACTTGCCGCCAAAAACATATGTATCGTTATTTTTTCATTTTATAGCTATAAGATGAATTGCGGCTGGTTTATATTTGACTAAATGGCTCTAATCTTGAATCCTGTAGATAGACAACAAAAAGTCGACGTATTTTGTGCTATTTGCGGCAAGTTTACAGTTTATATTTTACCTTAAAATCGACCTCCAAAACCATCAATATTCTACTTATCTTATATGGCTCATAAAATCGACTTATTTACAAAATTTTAATACTCTTGACCTTTTGACAAGTAAACAAAGAACCCAACATTCTCTGATCAAGTGAGATCCAATGCTCCATTCTTATGGACTTTTCGTGTGACTGTGCTTCTTTCCCGGCCTTTTTTCTTCGGTTGTCTCTTTTGGACTGATTAACTTGTGCTTACATGAGTTAATGGTAAAAGGTCAAGAGTATTAAAATTTTGTAAATAAGTCGATTTTATGAGCCATATAAGATAAGTAGAATATTGATGGTTTTGGAGGTCGATTTTAAGGTAAAATATAAACTGTAAACTTGCCGCAAATAGCACAAAATACGTCGACTTTTTGTTGTCTATCTACAGGATTCAAGATTAGAGCCATTTAGTCAAATATAAACCAGCCGCAATTCATCTTATAGCTATAAAATGAAAAAATAACGATACATATGTTTTTGGCGGCAAGTTAACAATTTATCTTGTACTCGAAAATTTATCTTTAAAAGTATAAATACATAGAAGGTCAATTTTTGGTAAAAAATAGATTGTTAACTTGCCGTCAAAAACACATGTATCGTTATTTTTTTATTTTATAGCTACAAAATAAGTTGCGGCTGGTTTATAATTGATTAAATGGCTCTAAGCCCTTATGCTCGGTTTCAGAATTTTAGAGGCCACTTTTGGCGAAAAAAGGAAAACCGCTAGATGGCGCTGATCAAAATGATCATTACAACTCACAATAGAGCCATATAATAAACCAGCCGCAACTAATTTGGTACATAGAAAATAATAAGTTAACATTTTCTGCGTTATTTGCGGCAAGTTTACAATCTATTTTTTACCAAAAAGTCTACCTCCAAAAATATAGATATTCACATGGTTCAATAAAATCGATCATATGGCATTACTTAGTATAGTAATTACTTTAATTACTACACATAACTTCACGTACATCTTACACTGTGCTCTCTTTACCAGAATGATAAAATGAGAGGCTGTAAAGTTACGTAGGTCATGGTGGTAACACCGCTTGAAGGGTGTTTTCCCGCAATCGTCACTAGCATGTGATAGTGGGTTGCGCTCTACGTTACCATCAGGTCAGTAAGTCAACTACCTTGAATTAAACTGGCGCTTCATATACTCCGTAATCTCGCCAGTTAAAACAGCAGACGACGTTAAAGTCAAGAAAAAAGTGAAGATTTATTTATATATCGCTGTTGACTGTCGTATGCTATTTTAACTGGCCAGATTACGGAACTCGGAACAGAACGCCAGTTATATTAATTATTTTTTAAAGACGGTTCCCCTAGATGGCGTTAATGCACTACAATAATATTTTTTTAAGTACCTAGCCTTATCTGAGTAAAAGTGTTCAGCATGGTGTAAGAATAGACAGGTGGGCCGAAGGCCCGCCTCTATCGAGTCCAATTTGTGTCGCAGTACATCTAAAATCCGCTAGGTGGTTTCGAGTAGTAGAGGCAGTTTTTATAATGGTCAGTATGACTATATAAAAAAAAAAAAAAGAAAAAAGAAAAAAAAAATTTTCATACTATCAATGGCCTGCATGACACGGATCCCTCTGGTGGCTAGTATCGGTACTGCGACAAAATTTGAACTTTTTTTACAATGCGTTGAGGTAGGCCTTCGGCCCACCTGTCTATTCTTACACCATGGTGTTCAGTATCAGAGATTAGTAGATCTTGTTTGCACAACGTGCATTGTGCATTGCACGTGCGAATTTGATTTATTGAATTAAAAAGTTTATAGTATTAATAAATACTTTATTAACATATCAATACGTACACACATCATTGGCAGCTCGTTTGTGGCCTCGTTTCTTGACTACAATGATTTTACGGATTGACGTTTCACAAAAAATCATTCAGAAATTTAAATTGAAAATTTATACATCGTGTAGTTGTCAATTTAGATGACAAGAATTTTTAGAACGAAGTTCCTTATGTCGCGTTACTCGGGGGGCTTGAATTTTAGAACCGACTGATTTTTTTAGATAAAAATTTTTCTCTACAAGTGTATCGATCTGATTGTACACAGTTATTGCGTTTATAGTTGTTTTCACGTGAAATTCATATTATTACATGTACATCAGTTGATAGATGATTTCTTGCTGCACCGATAATGGAGTTTGATAAATTCAACGAAGAGCCGTCAACGTCTCAAAGTTCTTCCGTGTCTTTCCCTAGTGGAGTTGGTGGACATAATGAACCAAGTTCATCGGCATTCTATGATGCTAAGCCATTTACATCTTCTGATGAAACTTTTAATGATTTACTAGCTACCATTCCAGACGAGTATCTGACAGGCTGTGGTCCTGAAGAAGCTTTCAGAGCCGATTACAAGGAAGCTATATTTCCACGTAAGAGGCCAGACAATGTTCCATTCACTGAGCCAACACCTTCAGTGTTTCACGAAGAAGAAATTTTAGATCCCGATGATAACTTCTATTTTGAGTCTGAACATCTAGCTCTAAGATTAAATCACGATTACCATAATTTGCTCAAAACAATTGTGATTTTACATGCTCAGCGTACTCAAGCTATCAAAGATTTAGAGCAATTACTATGTGCTAAACAACAGGCTCTGAAAGATCCAATAGCTTACGTAGCAAAATTGCAGAATGGCGATCTACCAGAGTACCCAGGACCCCAGAAAATACCAGAGATACCGAAAATTGATTGGTCAAAATACAACGTTGGTCATGTAGATAATCACTTGCGACCCAAAACTCGTCATGCTCAAACTGCACCGAAAGTTAATGAGATGAAACTGAATGAAGAAAAAGAAAAGATACTTGTTAGAGGTAGAGTTTATAACGAGTCCAAACCAGAAACTTTCAATCAGAAATGGACCAATGAAGAGCAGTTGCGTTTAGAGGCGTTATTAAAAAAGTATCCACCTGAAGAGATTGCTATGAATAGGTATACTAAGATTGCCCAAGAATTAGGTAAGACTTTTTTTGTTAACATTCTAGCAACTTGTGTGAACCTTATTATGGCGATTTTATATATTTGAGCATCTGCTTTTGCTCTGAGTGAAAATTATGTGTGAAATTTTCATAGGAAATCGCACAGCCAAGCAAGTGTCAAGTAGAGTTCAAAAATATTACATCAAACTTAAAAAAGCCGGCATCACAACAAACGAGTATTATATCAAGTCAACCAGTAAAGTGAAAAGTACAAAAAGATTCATCAAAACTACAACATTTTTTCCGCACAATCACGATTACTTTGAGATCCAAAATGAACCTGTTCATGGAGAATTTGTAAATTGCTACTTTGAATTATTTTTACTACAGTAACATCCCTTGTTGATTTTATAAAATCATATTTATACTCTGTATCTAATTTCAGGATGAGTCACAATCTGCTGGTTATAATGCAGATGTAAAACAAATTCAATTGCTAAAACAAACTAAATTAGAGCAAGACAAACGTAGTTATGAACCAGTTTACGTTCACCTTGGTCACAAGGTAAAGATGTTAATGAAAATCTTTAATTTATTTCAAAACTCAGTTTGACTAATACAAATTTTTTTTTTCTTTTTCAAGTGTTACATTTGCAATGAAGAGCCTATAAAAAATATAAGGTGGCATTGCGAGGATTGCTACAATCACAATTCCAAGTATGTGGATCTTTGCACAAATTGTGCGTACAGTCAGGTTAACAATGAAAAACCTCAACATCCAATCAACCACAAACTCATACGTATAGATCCACCAAAATCTTCAGACAGTTGTCTTGACTCTGCCTATCACCCACAGAACTTTAATGAGCACAAATTCAACTATCTGGACACAAATTACGGCCTTGAATAGTACATAAGAAAAATAAGTAGGTACAAAATATTTCTCTTTGCTTCATGTAAATAACTTTTTGAATAACAAGCACTTCTCTTATAAATCTCGGGAGAATAAGACTCGGTAGGATTTTGATACTAAATATCTTTATTTAAAGCAATCAAGAATTTTCAGTCATTTGTAAAAACCTAGAATGTATTTTATTTCGATATTCATCAAAAGTACCATCTTTTATACTTTGTCGAATTTGTTTAAAGAATTCAATGTACAGATGTGTATTGTGTCTGAAAGTAAAATTGTACAGTTTTTAATGAAATTTATTTTTTGACATTTTTAATAGTAAGTTGTTACTTACATCATAAGAAGTACTAGTGATAACAATTCTTTGGTATGTATCAAGTGATGGATGTATGCTTTCGTGTGATTCTTACAAGTTAAACATGTGCAAGATTTGCAAATGGGATCAAAGTCTTCCTTATATCTTAAAATAATGAGTCTTTGTAAGTAACGAATTCTGGTGGAAATACGTCATAATAAATATATTTTACCTTTTTTCACTCAAGTCTACCATGAACCTTCTTTCTACTCTCATGCAACTTTCACAATCATCACATAAAAATGTCAATGATTTTTTTTCCTCAGTCATAAGGAAAGCATACGATGAATCAAATACGTCGATACCTAAATTAACTAAATCTAAAATAGTAGATGGATTCCAACATCCATTTAAAACGCGCAATTTGTCAACTGGTAACAAGTTCTGAAAACGATGTAGTAAAAAAAAATATTAAGATTGATGTTAATGAGCAAGATAAAAAGAAATAATAATCTACTTGCAAGGGAATGTTCGATAACAGGTTTTACTTGATCAATGGTGATCCCTTGAGTTTCAATTCCATTTCTATGCAACGCATCAATCACGCATCCCAGAAGTTCTTTGCCTTCCATGTGCTTAATGGACTCTGCTCTAGCCTGAAGGTTGTACCCACCTACAACAGCTCCTAAGAAACCTTTATTTCTTAATACATCAGACTCTTGGTGCTTCTTGTAGCACGCAGAAAATAAGTTTTTGCTTGTGCATAAGCTTTTATTTATTCTTTTTTGGCTACTGTCTTTGTCTGTGTCTCCATCGAACAACGTGACATACACATCAGGTTTGAAATTTTCCACCAAGTCCATGTACTTGTCAGGAGTAACAGTGGTTCTACCATTCCTAGACCATACTGATACGGAACCATTTCTGTGGTGAGCTTTTTCAACTTGCTCCGATGGGTCTTGAATGCCCAAGAAAAATGGATATTCCTTTAAAATAAAAAATTCATGCTAATCACTGAAAAAGGATTTGATGTTTTTGTCAATAGAAGTGCCCATACGTACTTGAAGGCCCACGAATTCACCAAAAGAATCAAATTGCTTAACGCAATCCGTCATTAAAATAGTCGAAGGCAAGTTGGTGAGCAAAAATTGCTGTTCTGCTGTCAACTTTTTAAGTACGTCCTTTGTCAAGTGAGGTACACTTCCTCTCTAAAAATCAATTAAACTTCATTAGGAACAAAACATTTGTATCGCCATTCACCAGAAACACCAGATTGATACAGGAAACAAAAATAAGATCTTGTCCAAAGATAATTTTTGTTTTCTTTCGAAACAAACTTTTCGTACCCTCGTGTACAGAAGGAGCATTGGGGTTTCAAAAGATACATTCGGCAGCCTGTCAATGCCAGTCAACACGCCAAGTCGTGCGGAACAACATGACAACGAATCCGTTATAAATCTCATTTTGAAAAAAACCTTGTGTTCTTGTTATAAATATACTTATATGAAAATATAATCACAAAAAAAAGAAAAAAATGTGCACTGATCGAAACACGTGCATGCGTTTAATGCTATGATGCTGTCTGCTGCCTCTGCACACGCGCGACTGCAGAATTTTATTCGTCGAGAGTCGAGAGAGCGACTGCTGGTGGAGAGCGGGTAAATTTGAAAATCAGATTTCATTTAAAAATTAAAAGCAAATGTTTTTACATGCCAATTGTGGTGCAAGAATCGTGAAAATAAATATATATATTGGGTTAAACCATACTAATCGTTGACAGGTGGAGTTTTTGGGATTTTTTTTTTTATTTAGCCACGAGTTTTTTTTGTTGTAATTTTGTAAAGTCCTTACACCCATTCACGATGCACCTTCAACATCTTTTTAAACATCTTAGAAATGACAATAATCAGTTTAGCACACGAGTTTCAAGATTATCGTTTTTACTTACTCGGCGACAACTCAATTCACTCTGTGTGCGCCTCCCTCTCTCCGAAAGGAGCACCCCCACAGGCAGAGTTTTGTTTCTGTAACGTCGAGCCTAAATAATAAACCCCAAGGGCCTATAATTACATTACACTACCATTAAAAGTATACCATGCAAACTGTCCATGTAAGACGCGTAAGTACGTATAAGTACACTTATAAAATCTCTTTTGGATCGACTGAAATAGTACGTGGGTATGTCGCACGACGTATTCTCTTATAGATATGCGACCAGGTAGGTGTATACCTTGACGTGGTTAACTATTTAAACGCAAATTGCGTATTATTATCGTCCAGGAGGAGAGTGGGATCATCGACAACACTCTGTATCGCCTCCCGGTACGAATAATTAAGCACCTGCGAACCCGAAACGCTTTTACCTCGTATATATTACCCTATAAGTAGTTACGTGTCTCTTTGCTCCCTTTGTGTATATGCGTGGTTGTTATTTCGTGTGAAGATTTATACATGCACATGTGTGGCACAAAGGAGACGATGACGCAAAGCCCCTACGAAATTAGCAACAACGCGGGTGTTAAACATAAATGAGGCTTTAAACATCGTAAGAGGTGCTATATGCAGGCTTTTCTCACATAGTCAGGAAAAGTTTACCAATCAAAGAACAACGTATTGTTCTATGAAATTCATCGGAATGTCCATGCATGCAGTACATTTTTCGGTGGATGAATGATTCGACTGCTGTTGCATTTTGTGCATTCGAGAATAATTGAAAACCAAGGATAATAAGAGTCACATACGAATAATCCATAAAAGATGAGCCTTACCGATCTGTTTGAAGCGAAAGCTGCGATTTTGAAAATCACCGGCATGTGGCCGGTACAACCAAAGGACGAACAATTTTTTGGCTGGCTCAAGACGTACTCATCGGTCGTTACTTTTGCAATTTTTTGCACCTTGCAAGTCGTCGGTATCTTAACGGTCACCACTTCCGACGATTTTTTGGAGTAAGTATACAATCTCAAATAGTACACGTATACCGTAACAACATTGTAGATGTTTTTTTCATTGTTTCATCACTTCGATACGTGTATACAAAATCGATTTTAACGAAATGATTATGTAACGTAGAAGCATCATAGACTTGTGCGGTTTCCTGACATTGTTCGCCAGAACTTATAGTCTCGTCACAAACAGGTACCAAATGTATGTTTAGAGTAACACATGGTTATAATTATTAACATCTCTCGTTTTTTCCCCCAAAGGAAAAAGTTTTTCGAGCTCTACGCGGAAACGTACAAGTTGGAGTTCCTATGCGAGTACAGTGAAAAGGAAAAAAGTACCATAAAAATTTGCCAAAGTTATCGCAGCACATGCGTAAAGTACCTGGTGAACGCCTACCCCTTCGTTCTACTCTCTTACGCACTTTTGCCACTTCTTTCGTCGGACCGTGTACTACCGATCAAGTTAATGTTCAAGCCGAACGGCTTGCCGAGTCCATGGTAAGCACGTTTCGACTTTTACCGGTCACAGAGTATATACGTATCAGGCAAATATGGCCATTATTCGTCTTAGGTACGAAATCGTTTACTTGGCCGAACTCCTGACTTTTGCTTGGGCGCTTTGCTACATGGCGTCGGGCGACATATACTTCGTAACTTTCATGGTTCAGATTTACAAGGAGCTGCGACTCGTTAAATTGTTGTTGACCAAGAATGAGGATGGCGCGTCGAGGGGGACCGAAAATACTGGCGAGATCCTGAAGAGGATCATCAAAAGGCACGTGGTGATTTTGAAGTACGGCGAAACAACTTGTCAAATATTGTCAAACACCTTCCTCGCGCAGCACTGCATGCTGTACCTCCAGATTTGCTTCAACATTTTTTTAACCATAACCGTGAGTGGTACAAATTAAATTGTCGATGTACTTATACGTGAGGTACCGAGTGTGATGAACTTTTTCAGACCCAAAACCCAGTGGTTGTGAACAAAACCGTTACCAGCATACTAGTCGCCGGCTTGATTTTGTTTTCCGTCTGTATCGTGGGTGAGATAGTGACCACCGTTAGCGAGGACATCGCCGACGCGGTTGTCCAGTGCGACTTGGAGTTGTACGGCTTACATGATGACCAGAGCTTGAATAACCTGAGAAATGTCAGTTTTTTGTTGCTGAGAGCTCAGAAACCGTTGAAACTGTCGGTTGGGACTGTTGGCCTGATGAATCTGCAATTTTTCAGCAGCACCGTCAAAAGCATATTTTCTTTCTTGATGATTTTGCGCACGGTTTTAGAGTAACACACCACCTGTAGCAATGTATTGTGCTCACAGAATACCTGAAAGAGCTTTGTTACCTGATATTACATGGATGTAGAAAAAAAATAACGGTTTCATGGAAGTCTATTAGAAACAAATTATATACGCTATAAAAAAACATTTTCCATGATGGAGTAAAACTGTTTTTCCTACTTTGGGCGATTTCTTGAACATTTGGACGTTTAGTGCGCCCTCGGTAGGAAAAATAGAGTTCGTACCTGGTGAGCATCCAACCAGGACAAGCCCAAAGAGTCCCCGGTGCTTGCCCTGGCGATATGCGCCACCAGGTACGAAAACTGCCATTTTATGGAATCTTCAAAACATTTAAACCAAAAAGACTTATCTTTAATTGTTTTCGTACAAATCTTTCACAGGTGTAATTTCTTTTTCATTTCTTCTGGCAATTCGCGAGCAACCATCAGATGTGACTTTGAGGAAACTAAAAATTTGAGGAAAAACCAAATTGTTCCATACAATTACAAAACAATACCTTGGCGTACTAACATTGAACATCAAATTTGTCTTTCCAACACTTTTCAGTACCTTTATGTCATTAGACTTTATTAACGTATTTTTTAATCATTTCAACGAATTAAAATCTCTCGTAAGATAATGAACTTCTTTAACAGGGATCTGAGCCTTTAGCCGAGTAATGCAATGGCATTTAATTTTGTCATGGAATTAAGTCAAATAAAGATATCAGTTGCAAAGAATAGTGAAAAAAAAAAAAAAAAAATTGTTTAACCATCATACCATCGTCAAGTTACGCGCACAGTTTCTTCAGGCTTTTCAGAAAAGCTCCTCATCTTCACTGACAAAGCAAGTAAAGAAATAAAAACTGGCTGTAGTGTATTTTACAGCTATACCCCGTTTGATGCATTGAAATACCGTGTTACTTCAAGATCCGTACTAGCCATAACGCGTGTACCTGCATGCTCGGCCCCAAAAACTCATTATTAATTGAAAACGGCGTACAACACAGTGTCCGACGTGCGAGAGAACTTCCTTACGCGCGGAAAAGCATTTTCCACGCAAAGATTATTTTTGATCACCCAACCAGCAATTACACGCGTCAATCACTTTGCACCTGCGCTCGGAAGTATCGCGAATCCCCCTGCGATCAATGAAAGTATAAGAGCACAAACGCCCGGATCTTTCCGTTCGGTGATATTTCTTATGTACATGCATTATACCACACGGTGGAGGGCCACTGGCGAAGCTTCTTGGATCGCCTACATGTTGTGTTGTAATAATTACACCTCGCCTAGAAAGAGGAATTTCACAACATTGCACCGTGCGAATATCAAATGAGTCGTAGACGCTCCCGCGAAAAGTGGGTAAAACAATAATAATTACTGGAGCGCCACGTACGTCCAAATGAAAATTTTAACGAGAGCCCGTGTAGGGCTGTGATGCGCAAGGAGCTTTTGTTGCTCACTTGAGTTTCGTCTCGTTCGAGACACGCATAATCTTTGAAAATCACAGTCAAAGCCGAAGGGCTGGTTGTGATTGAAATTTTGCAAATTATAAAAAGAAATTCCAAGCAGAAATGAGCGTGTAAAAATTGTTCGATGATAACAAGTACACATTTTGCGGTTTGTCGACATGTGGCCGGATGAATGAGAAAGTGCGCCTTATCACGCTTTGTTAAAATCTTACTTCATATGGATATCCGAACTATCAATCTGCTTCATGTGCGCCATGACTATTTTTTACGCTTTCGCCACCCGCGAAGACTTTGTCGAGTAAGATCGTATTGTTTTTCATGCGTTAAACTAAATGATTTAATCCCAACAATTTTGTTACGTGACATATGCATACATGTAGATACAATCTGGTGGACGCGTCTGGATACATGTCCGTTGTGATGAAATTTTTACCTTTCATCTCAAACAGGTGAGTGCGATGAATTATTACGTGGCGTATTACTAGGTGGCAGTAAAATTTTTCATGGTCTAGAAAAATAGTGTTAGAATTGTTGCGTGACGTGCACAGCTCAGAGGTGGCATTGGAAAAATATTTGGATGCCGGGGAGATCGAAATAAAAAAGTGTTGGCGTCACTGTCGTGACTATGTTATCAAATATATGAAAAATTTTTATATCATCGGTGGTTTGGCGTACTGCACTGCGCCCCTTTTTTCGTCAGAGAAAATGACGCCCCGAAAATTATATTCAAACCAAATTCTCTGTCAAGCCCAAGGTAAACTATACAATTTGTTTACTCATGCAGTCATTAGCTGTTTAAAACAAAGTTAATTATACATTTTTCTCTACAGCTATGAAATAATTTATGCAATAAACGTAGCAGTTGTTAAGTTTGGTGAGAAGATTTGTAAAATATTGTCCACACCCTTCTTCTTACAACACATTTTCCTGGCTTTTGTGGTATGTTTTTCCACGTTCGCAGCGATGACAGTAAGCACCAGTATTGTTTGATTGAATAACGTAGTGTAAAAAACATTAAAAAGTTTTTTTTTTATTTATTAAGAAAAATAGATAATTGTAAACTTTAAAGGTATATACATCTTGTTATGATTTTAGACTGAGAATTCGGCCATATTTAAAAAAATGATATTGATAACGATGCTTATAAGTTCGATTATTTTTTGTTTGTGCTTCATCGGCGAGGTCATTACAAAGGAGAGCGAGGATGTAATATACGCTCTAACGCAAAGTAACTTTTTCTTTTTCGATAATACATAAGATATAAAAAGAGTTAAGGATATGCTATTTTTTCTCATGAGGGTACAAAGGCTATTAAAACTGTCCGTCAGCAATTTCGGTATCATGAATTTGCAGTTTTTTGCAAAAACAATCAGCAAAATATATTCGGCTATGGCGGTGCCGAGGACGTATTATACCGAATTGGATTAGATACATATTTAAGTAGTCAAATGTAGTTGTGGTAGAAATTTATTCATGCAGTAAGCAAAGAACAAGTTGTGCGAATACTTTCTTCAGACACCAAACTAAAGATTGATTTCTAATTTTCAAACAATTAGAGCTACATTCAAATTTAAATGAAAGTTCGCTCGATCAGAAAAGCTTTTGGCCATTATTCTTTTTCCGTCATCTATAAATAATACTTCTGGAAATATTTTGTTATTTTCAGTGACACACAAGAAATAAATGTAACTTACCATATCAAACATTTTTTCACTCAAATTTGTACAGTTTTCTTATTTATATTTTTTTCTCACCCATGGCATGTATATAAGCATTTGGCCACAAAATTTTGTGACAAGACGAAGAATAAATTAATCAAGGTCCAAACTTTTATTAAACATTTAAATAAATCTAGCTAAGAAACAGTTGTGTTTAAAAATTTTAGGATTAATTTTTTTACTGTTTTATGTCATTTTCATGATTTTACATTGTAATAATAACGATCTTTCATTTTTTAAGTTGATAGCATTAAAGGTAATGTTGTATAGTTGTTATCTTCTTTTTAAAAAAAGCTTCGTATACTAGTCGAAAATATAATTTTTTCATAACTGTGTTAAAAAACTTGTTTTTTAGTTTAATATATTAATATAGTAATAGCAGCTAGAAATAGACAACAATTTTTCTTAATTTTAAGTGCTTTTATTAATCAAATCAATTCAAACAACTGGTAAAATTAATTTAAACAAAATTTTCATTTTATACATTTGCTTTTATGTACAACTTATGTTTTTATGCAAATTTTGCAAGGCATAAAAGCTTAGATGGGTCATACTACGAAAAACGCGCTATTTAGAATTGGAATTCTCAATATTCTGCCTCAAAACATAAACTCTTTGAATATCTAGATCATGAAATAGCAAAGTTTTCGTGATACAACCCCGAATTATCACGTATATACAAAATCTAAAAACTAAAAAAATTAAAAAAACACAGAATCCAAAAACGCATTTATTCGTAAGTATTGTAAAATAATCTAGTCTATCTTTCTCGTTTCGAAATTTTGAATTATCTCCTCTTCAAAACTTGCACGCGCTTTCTTTGGCAATTTACTCGACCTTTGCGTAATAAAATGCTTCTCCAATTTCCTGAACGGACCTTCGATGCCTATGGCTATGAGCAAAGCCAGTGAAAACGAATACACGACATCCGACACAAAGTCCCAAAACTGAAAATAACGTTTCATTATTTTTACACATATCATTCAAAGCGAGTACTCATTTTTCACACTCATTCTAAAAATTACTAATTTAAACAAAAAATAAAAATATCGTTTTATTTTGTAATTATTAAAATTTAGTTAAATCAAAAGGATATACTTACAATATTATGAATACTGTAAGTCCTCGGACTCCTCATGGTTCCTATTTGATACATTTGAATGATATTGTGGCACAGGAAGACGCTGTAAGTAAGCCGTCCCAGTGGCTGTACCCAACGTGGCGTTAAAAAATTGTAGTGGAAGTCTGAAAAAATAATATTACTTCGTTGACGAAAACTTACGTGTAGAGAGATAGGTCAGTGCGTACATATTTCGATAGTCTGATTGATAGTTTTCACGCGGATGGTGCGTGACCACTAGAACGGGACCAAGGTGAGGTAGCAGTAATGTGGAGGGCCCAACGGCCACGTATATATATATACACATACACTTTTTATTAATCTCGAAAGTATTGCAAAAGCCTTTTGACACTTTAAATGGCACGTTACACTGGCCGGTCGGTGCACGTGTTGAATTCGAGTGATTTAGTTTTTAAAATGCGTGGCTTTCTTATTGCAACAAAAATTTTGTCGGATCGATTTTCGCAATCGTACTTGAGCCCGAGCAACGTACAACTGATAAAAAAAGGCAATCATAATAATATATCGTGCGTTTACTAACTGCGCCCCATACGCGTGTATCTTTATTTTTAGAGAAACACGAGTACATTCACTTTTGCTCAGCCTAAACGTATGTTACATATATATGTATCTGTGCGTATGGGATATTATTCCAGAAGTCGGTGCTAAAGACCTTGCGCTATGCATTGACCGAATTTTTCGATGTATTGGAATATATATTATATAGTTGGATGCTTGTTTTTTATTTTAGATAGAAAGACGCGGTTTGCAATGATACATTTTACGGGGATGTGTACAATTTTTTTAAACATTCATGGCAATTAAGAGTAAAAAAAAAAAAAATCGCGATATTTCCTCTCAATAGAGAGAAAGAGGATGCGAATTATTAAAAATGCAGTGCAGGTCTTACCTAAACCATCACCCATGGTGATGAGCAAGACAATGGAGCAGAAGCTGAGAGCAAAAAAGCCGCGATGAAGACACGCGTACAACGCCACCTCGAGCAAGGATGGCTTGGAATTTGGATTATAATAGTGGTGGCCCAATGATTGGGATTTGACGCTCATAACAACTGCGAATAGTATGAACAGGCAGTGCGACCATCTCTGGAAATAAATCAACAGTACAAAATTCGTTTGACAAGTGGGTTTCCCCCACCACTGTTGGTGACCAGCAAGAAAAAATTATTTTTTACTTGTTGGCTTATGAAACCGAAGGTCGAAATGTTGATTATACCCTTGAAACGCCATTTACGAACCTTTGAGATACGCCACGAGGCATCCTTGTAGTCGTAGAGAATGGCACCGCAGATCACTCCTACCAGGTAAGATGTCATCCGCATGTGTGTTTTTACGTAGTGGTTGATAAAGTATTCGTCTTTCGTTACGCTATACATACTGTTTGATAAAAAAAAAAAAAAAAAAAAATTTGTCATGCCATGAATTGATTAATTGGTTTTTTGGGAACGGCTACTCCGCAACAGTGCCTCATATTTTTTATCGGAGCAAAAAGTGTATTGCAGAGAATAATTTGCATTCTTATGTCATCAAGTTCGTATATCTTAAAAACATTATTTTAGGCGTGGCCAATTTTTTTTGTCTTGTCATCTTAACGCTCTCAAAGAAAAACAAAAATTTGTTTTAATCGATTATTACACAATTTTCATTATTTCCCGATAAAATCTTTCAAAAGATTTTCAACAATACGTTTTTTTTACTGTTATACTTTTTTCTGCAACGTCGTTTCAATGCTCTAAAAACTACAAATTGTTTCAAACAGATTTAAATTATGAGTAAAAAATTCGTAGGTTTCATGAATTTACAATTTTTGTGCACGTAGCTGGCTGGTGCTCGGTTCAGTCATACCTCCATCTAAATTATTATCCTCATTAGTGACCCGCGTGTTTCTTTTTTCAAACAAATAAATGTAAATAAATAGGTAAAAAAAAAAATAATAATAATAAAAAAATGTAAAAGTATGTATATGATCAACATGATAACGAAGCACAACTTACTAAGAGAAGCCAATGAAGAGGGGTTGCACGTGATAGGCGTAAGTAATGTAGAAAGGTATCAAGATGCTGAGGACGGTCACTCCTCCGAGGATGGAGTAACCGATTTTTCTGGGACACTTGCAAAACACGCAGAGAAGAACGATCGTCAAAAGATACAGATGAAAGTCCACTGCCAAGTACCAAGACTGAAACATGCACTGCGGGCAACGAAAATGTGTGTTTTTTCTTTATTTTTTTTACAATCATCATTCATATTTTTCAAGACAATGCATACGCTTCATTGCATACACAGTTTTTTCCATATCCACGAAATTCGTAATTCTATTTAAAAGTATACATTGATTACAGAAGATTGATTCGTAAGTTTAGTTAACATCGGATAACGACTAATTTGTGTTTTTACCCACAAATTGTTATCATCACGCGAAATATGTATTGTAAGATTGATCTATACCAATTTGTCCATTGTCATGTAATTGTTCAGATAGAACAGATTAGCCCACCAAGTCGCAGCGCAGTTTTTCGATGCAGAAGTTATGAAGGTTTGCCACTGCGGTCCAGAGCCGATGTGTTGAAAGACGTACGAATAGAAAAAAATTACGAGAGCATAAGCTGGTGTGAACCTAAACAAGACGACGCGACGTTTACTCATGTTACAAATGTTCCTGCGTTGTTTGATGCGTGTGTGTATTATATCGTCAAAATTATCAACTATATGCATACATACATCGTTAAACGTTTTGGTTTTGCTTGTAATTTTTTTACCTCAGAAAGCGAATGAAAGTAAGACCGAAAAAATTTATGTTCTTCGATTTTTGGAATTGATCCAAAATAACGTAACACGTCAAGAGTCCGCCAATCCCGAAAAATCCGTCGACTATGATTGGCCCGTTGTGAACCATTACGAACGAAGGTATGTCAAAAGTCTGCAACAAAGTAATATTTTGTTTATTCGAAATTAATTTTCTACAACTATTATATTACGTATAACTGAAATAAAGTTAAAAAAAACAACAACAACAATATTATATTATACCAGAGTGTCCAGTCTGCAATAAAAAAAGGACATGTTGCAAAGTAGGAACGAATTTCGATATAATTTTCTAACAATTCAAAGCTTTATGGTTTTATTTTTTAATGTCATAGGTAGTTATTTAAACTTTCAGAATCGATTACTTGGAGCGCTGTCTTAAAAACTTCTAAAATGAATTACTAGGCAAAAGCATCGAAGCCCTTACATGAAATCCACGACACGACGCAGCCATCGTATCAGATAAGAAGTTCAAATAGAACTTTGTGCTGGGAATCTAACGGAAGAGTAGAAAACGATAAATATTTGGGCTTATTGATCATACGAAAGACAAAAGTATGGATGGGAAAAAAATGTCCACGGAGTTTTCACTGGGCCTATCTCTGGACACCCTGGTACACTCGTGTACTCACAAGCTCGTGATAGCGCATATTGACTGTAGGATTGGCGTAGTACTGCATCATGCGGTGGCCGACGAGCACGAGACACATGGAAAAGAACCGGATCATGTGAATGGTATCGAGGCCCCTGTGTTGGTAGCTAGTTTGAAAAATCGTGCGCAAATTCCGCTTCACCGAGAAACAAAGCAGCATTTGCGTTGACTTGGACGTGCACCGCTTATCTTCCTCCGTAATGATAGTGCCGTCGTAAAGGCTACTTATTATCACTAGTACTAATATTCCCAGCACTATTCCACTACGATTACAATAGAAATGATTGTATAGATTCGATGGGACGATTTTTTTTTTTTGTTTTGTTTGTTTTTTTCTGCTCTCTCGCATCGACGGGACTCACCAGTACACGTACGCGCCGGTGGAGAACTCCGGCTCCTCGACCATGGTCTGGCAATTTTCCTGGTCGACGCCGACCTTTATCGCAACCCCATTACTCTCGCCAAAGTCGTCGTACGGTTCCTGCAAGGCGAGCCTTATGTCTTCGGGAGTGCAAGCTGCCGGCACGCAAAGTGCCATTTGCAGCATGTAGCGTCTAAAAAAAAGAAAAAAAAAAAAATAGATAAACATATACGGGGGGATCACTTGTATAATACGCGGCGTGAATTTGGCGGTATAAATTTACCTGATGCGCCGGTAATCGCCCTTCTCCTTGACGGCCTCCCAAGCCGAGCCATTGGGATCGAAGTCGTGGTCGAGCTTTTCGTAAAAGCTCAGGTAATTGTCCTTTCGCTCGTACTTGAAATCGACGAGACAGTACCGGCTCCTCAACTCCACGAAGCTGCTGTTGCTGTTTTCGCTTGGTAAGCGAGCCTCGATTCTGTAGCACTGGTCGAAGCTGCCCAGGTGCCTCGTTTGACCGTCTATTATACCGTACGGGTACTTTGCCGATGAGTCAAACACTACGAGCAAATGTACATTTATATGATCGTTCGATGGTTTCTGTCATTACAATTTGGACGCCTCATTCGAAGACCAACGTAGCTCGAGATTTACAATTTTACTGCGAGTGCAAAAATCTGAGCTGTGTGTTGGTCTTTGTCAGAGGCGTTGGTACGAGCAATTAGGAGTCATCTGAAATTCGAAAAAACATTTTGTCCAGGCATGCTTTTGGGGAAAAAAATTTTTAGCCTTCAAAGTGAATGCGAAATGAATGGAAGGCAGCAGGACTTGAATAAATAAAATTGTTTTTAAGTGATTTCTCTTAGCAAGTCCCGTTAGTCATTGGTTAAACATTCACTTGGATTAAACAAATGATATTTTCCACAAATTTTCCAGTTTTTTTTTTTTTTTTTTATATATTAAAATCTGTAACTGACGCAAAGTAAAATTGACAATTACAAAAAGCTTTTTAATAGTAGTTTTCCTACGAGTTTGAAAAGTCTCTATTTGCGAACCGAGAGGTTTGCGGCCCGAGCCGAAGGCGAGGGACGTAACGAGGTTCGTAAAGGAGACTTTTCGAACGAGTTCCGGAAAACTGCTTTTTCGCCCAAGGAAGTACCAGCCTCCCAAAACCACCCGAGTGCGGAAAAAGTTTTTTATGCGCTCTGTAGATTTTATGTTGACAATTATTTTTTTTTTTAGCATTTAAAGTACAACAATCTTTACTTATAAGTGCACTTGTATATTTTTTGCTGGAAAACAGTTTTGATTGATTTCATTTCAAGCTTTGAAATATTTGTTAAAATGGGAATTACTTTTCGGCAAGGAAAATTCCGTTGTAATTTACATCGTATTTATTGTGCGAAGGAAAAACACTCGAGGAATGTTGATTTGGAATTTCGACATGATTTTTTTTCCTAATTTGAATTTCTTTAGTGAGTATTCAAGCAGTCCCGATTTAAAACGAGTTTTCTTATCAATACGAATTGGCGCCCAATGGTATTTTGACACTGTACATATATATATATATTTGCACGGCTGGTACGTTGAACTTGGCCATTTTTAGCATAACAATAAATGAGACAAAAGTTATATACTATTATGTGTAGTCTAGTTCAACATTATTATAACTTTATTACGAAATAAATAAATTAATAAGTAAATAAAAATACGAACAGTAAATAAAAACAAAGAAAAAAGGTAAAAAGCTACAGGCTTAACATGAGAATATCATTAAAAAATTTATTGTATGGCCTGTGATTTATGTTGATTTTTTAACTAATCATAAATATCGTTGACGTAGTAAAATTCATTTCCTGTTCGACACTACCGATTTATTTTTTACCATGAACACTTATATTTTACTTATCCGTGTCGACGCCAAATATTTTACGTAACGAATGCAACTTCATATACTGAAAGAAAAAAATAAAAAAAATAATAGAGAAATTCCAGCAAAAATTACCATTCTGTACAGTGAATCGGATGCAAGTTGGCTAAAAAAAGAAAAAAATTATCATTTTTAAACCGTAAAAGTTATTGGTTTAAAAAGTAAAAATTATCGTTTTAACAAGTAAAAATTTCGATGCAGGAAAGTAAAATTTATTTACCGATCCTTTTAGTTTTACTGTTCCAGCATAGTAATTTTTACTGTTTTAGCCATAATTTTTACTATTCAAACTATAATTTTAACTGTTGAAACCATAATTTTTGTGGTTAAAAATAATAATTATTTCCTTTTTTGCCAACTTGCATCCGACTTACTGTGCAGAATGGTAATTGGAATGTCTCTATAATTTTTAATATTTTTTTTCTCAGTGTTCGTATCTACAGACGCACGTACGAATATAAATAAAAGCTCAGCAGCCTGTTTTACGAGGTGTACGTTACGGTGGTTCCACAAAAAAAGTTGTCTTAGTTATCTCTTCGCTACGTCACGATAAGGAAATAATGTCTCTGGGAGATTATTTAAAAAATTTTTTACCGACATTTTTTCAAATCTGACGCAAGAATGAGCCATGACGAAAATAAAGAAGAACGGTCAAACAGTCAGAGTAGATAAAAACTATGAAAGATGAACAACATAAAGTGGGACACTGATAAAGAAAGCAACATTGTTGTACGTGCGATCGAGGAAAAGGAAAATGCCAGAATTCATGTACACTCAAATGTTTGTCTCTGCAAAGAAACGTATATATACCAACAAGTACTCGGGAGATTATTTTTATTGTTGTTATAATTTCCTGAGCTTACCTTCTCGTAAATAAATTTTATTTATCTTTATTTATATAGTTATAACAGGCAACATAAATATTTGAATGGTTAATTGTAAATAACAGTAGTCCTGCCAGAGCGATGACGTGACTACAGAGCAAGTATACTGTGATTTGGCATCACGGAATTTTTTTATTGGAAAACATCGTGCTTTTACTGAGAAAAATAAGCGTACGTTTATAAAAATTTGTTTGGAAAATAAAAAATCATTAGATTTGTTTTTTGAAAAATCACAGTTTGGACTTAAAACGTCTAATAAAAGGCTAGGGGTCAATATTCTTTTTTACGCCCCATTCAGTCCGTTAATTTATTTTTAACGTAATTATTCAAGATATTCCTTTATTACTGAAGCACATAAACGTAATGATCAATTCAAACATTTTTCAAGGGAATAAACAAAAATTAAACTGGTGCGACTTTTTACTTAATGGATTTAAAGTAATATCTCACCCGCTGGATTTTACTGTACACATAAGTAGCTCTGTAATTTAAGACGTGATCTATTTTACTCGAGACACAAATACGAAGAGTTTCAAAAATTGTTGTTGCCATACACACCAGCTAATTAATATTTATCCAATCAATGTCAAAGACACGCATAACTTCCGAACGTAAAAAATGTAATTAATCAGCAAATAACGTTTTTACTACACTGCATGATGTTCTCTTGCACTGATAAAATTATCACCACGACCCACAAGCATCGAACGCAAAAATTTTAGCAAAACACAATATGTCTACGCGAACGACGCGAGCAAACAATCAACAAACTTTTCTCCGAAAATTATTTCCATCTCACCTTTGAGAGCTTTGTGTTGGTAAATTATACATCCAACTGTTGGATTTTTCCAGTCTTCGAGTGTAAACAGCAATAACAGAGGTGGACAGAAGATGAAACGAGTGAGTGCTGTATACATAAAAGCACGCCTGGCTAATTTATACGCAAGTTCAGGGTCTTTGCGGCGGACGCTGAACTTGGATGCTGAGTATGCTTGGTGACTCTGACTGATTAAAGAGCAAACCGTGCGCGTATATATGCGTGTTGTTTTCCCGCAACTTTCGGAAAAATTTGAATTTAGCGGTTACGATTACGAAATCGGTCGTTACTACTCGCCGTGTGTACATATATATATATATATACACACACACATACGCTCCGCAAGTGATAATGAAATTTTACGTTGTTGTCCGCGTGTGGGCTTCAACGAGGAAGAACATTTACCCGTGCTCTCGCTCCTTTCGGTCCGTTTTAAGAATATATTATTAAAATACGTGTGTACTTCAAGGATGAATAATACCAGAACTCGGTGTGTGCGACCTTTTTTGATAAATTATCATAAACGAAGCGAGAAGGATGATGACCGTCGAATGCGGACATTTCAAGATATTTTCTTTCTTTTTTTTTTGCCGTGTAAATTAATTCTCAAAGCTTGAATATTCTTTTACTGTTTTTTTTTTTTTTTTTTTTTTTTTTTTTTCCCTACAAAAATATATTCTCCCCTTGAGTGAAAAAAAAAAAAAAAAATAGTTAGCCAAATGAAAAAAACTTACTCTGAGTTGCCCAAAAGGTGCCATTTCCCAGTTCTTCGATATACCTTTTTAGCTGTCGTTTGCAAGCACCCTCGGGAAGCGAGTTCGAAGTGGCGACGACGATCGGCGGTACGGGTACTTTATCGAACCAAAAGTCGTCGCCAGGCACCACCTTTTTCTTGCCGATCGTCAAACAATCGGTCGAATTCCAGTCATGCGAGAAGAATTGCCCTTCGCACCCACTCAAGTAAAACAAAAGCACACCCACGACGCACAGCTTACCGATCATTTTTCAATTTTTCGGATTCGCGACCTGCAGCAAATCGTCGAGTGAAAATCGTTAAAAATCGCTCGCTCCCTTATTCCCGCTCATCTATGGGTCTTCGTAATCGATATACTATAGCAATAATAAAAAGAAAAGTATAGTTATAGTGTTTATTAATGCGCCGTCTTCGGGGCGTCCGCGCGACGTAGCACCGATTTATCTATTAACTCGGTTCGCACGCTCGTTACCGATTTTATGGCTATATCGGCCGGGGGGGCCAGTAGCCAGCCTCGCGACTCCCTCCTTCTCTCCCAACCAAATACATACAACCACGCCAAACCGCAACTAATACACAACTATGTCCGTTCGCTCTTGCTTGAGCTCCAAAGTGTGCGGTAGTGTGCGCGCGAGCGCGTGTCTGTATACGGTGGACACGGGGCCTCACCTTTACTCGGAGCTGTATACCCATATGCGACAACGACCTTCGACAGTTCGGCGCTCGCTTCGTGCTTTTTAGCTGAGATTTTTGACACCAACGGCACGGCTGTTGGGGTATTTGCAGATTTTCACGATACCTGCACGTTTCGCGGACGGATTTTCTTTTCAGTCCTCCAAGTTTTCATTGATCAACGAGTGAAAAATTTACAAGTACTTAATAGAAATCCAACATTGAATGTAATTTTTGAAACACATCCGTTGTTTTACTGACAGTCGTTGTACTAATGTTACATTTATTATCATTATATCAAATTGATATTATATAAATGACGTTAACATCGATGTTTTTTTTATATTTTTTACAAAAAGGCTCGATATTTAACAGCTTTTTCATCTTTATACTAAAAATTTTTTAGAATACAACTGTTTAATGTCTTCTATGTGCACATGTAAAAAAAATTAAAAAAAAAAAACTTAAAGATCGAAAAATGCAGTTATGTTTGCAAGAAATCTCTTGGAGATTTGCTTTCACATTCGATTGAGCTGTATTTCGAGAATAATACATTTGTTTTACGTTTACTAACAAGCAATATGCTAATCATTATTCGATATAACTGAGATAATACAATACTTAAAATTTGTATTTTACGAACGAAATATCAGGCTCTTAATAATTATTTTTAAAAAAAGTTTTAGCCGGTCCATCAAAGAACCCCTGAAGTATCAAAACCGTTCATACAGTAAAGTGTTTAAACTTGAAGTACAAGTTACATCTACTAATAAAGGTAGATGTAACTTCGTGATGTTGGGATATTTTTAAACATCACTTAAATTATAGAGAAAAAAGTGTTTACACCTCTAAGAAAAAATACAGACAACTAAAAAGTGATCTTAATATTTCCAACAAATATTTCTCACAAATGCTTAAAAGTTCCACAAAAAAAAAAAAAAAAACACTACCAGTGACCTATTCTCTTCCATGTAAAAAAATCGAGAGCTGCAATTGAGCAAGAGGGAAAACTTTATTGACGGTAAAGAAAAAGAAACCAAAAATCTTGATAAAAAAAAAAAGTGTATTAATCTCAAATTCATCTCCCGCGTTGGAACTGTACATACATATATCTGTATAAGAGCGAGCGTTTAAACTTTCTTCGGTGCGCGCACATGCATACGTGAGAGTTTATGTGTTTTTATCACGGGAAGTGCAAGTAAAATTGCATTCGGCGAAAGGGGCGAGACAAGACGAGAGGGGGCAGGTATAAAAGGTAAGTACGTGGCTCGATGCAAGGACAGTTGTTTGTCCGCATTGTGTGTGTACTTACTTCAAATTCAGTAAAATGTGGCTGACTGTTGTTAATATTGCGCGCGATTTAGCACGTTGATTTTGGTGTTTATTTATTTCGTTTTAAAATTAAATTTTTTTTTTTCCAAAATAGTTTAAAAATAATTTCTCATTTTATTAGTTGTCACTAAAATTTGGGAGTTTTTGATGGAATTCGCAACAAAGTACATATTACTTTGCAGTGGCTTCGTTGAGTTTTTAAATTTCGGAATCAAAAAGAATAGCTTGCTCTCGATTTCCACGTAGGTAAAATGTTCGAAGGAAACAGGTAATTTTATAACATATTTTACAGTAAACCCAGAAAATCCATTCGTTTCACGGCTCGTTAAAATTTTCATTACTTTTAAGAAATAACTTTGCTTCCCGAAGTATTGCAAAAAAATGAAACAACAAAAAGTGAATAACCAAACACAAATTAACATTGAAATATCGCTTGAAAATAAACAAACTAAAAGAAACAAAAAAGACAAGCCCTTTCACAAGCCCTTGACGGAAACGTTCAACCCACCGAGACCAGAGCGGGAAAACAGGAAGGCGCGCCGTATCCACTGGAAACTCGCGGAAAACGGCCCGTAACTGCAGCACCAACGCGCAATGAAAAAGAGAAAGATAAAAAAAAAAGTGCATCAGCCGCGCATACGGATCCAAGATAGCGGGATGTTGCGCAGTTGCGTAACCCACACCTGAGAAGTGCGTCTGGCCGCAGTGTAGTTCCCGTGCAACTTTCTCCGTATACTCTCGCCTACACCCAATATACACCCGAATACTCGTATACGCGACGCGAGACCCAGTTTCACTTTCATCCGTTCAGCGACGAAAGTCTCGTTGCCCTTTGGATGCATATACACCTTCATTTTCTCCTTTCACACGGCACTTTTTTTTTTAGGCTTCGTTTTTTAATATCGACGATTCAATTTTTCGTAAAATACTGTGAGCATTCATCACGATAGACATATACACATAAAAGACGCATCGTATACAGAAAAGCACATAAATAGCGTTATTTATTAAAAATTGGTGGTCCGCTCCAGCATTTTGTTCGCAGTGACCCTGACATCGTTTGCTCTTCTATTATTTTATTACTTGACGACGAGGAAACCAAGGGGGTATCCACCAGGTAAATAACAAAAAATCGGCAAAACTTGAAAAAAACAAAAAACAAAAAAAAAACCTTGACAATCCAATGTTGTAGGACCAGAATGGCTACCGATCCTCGGGTCGGCCTTAGAAGTTGCCCGCCTGCGAAAGGAGACCGGCTTTTTCCCGGAGACCTGCAACATCCTGGGAAAAAAGTACGGGCCGATAATCGGCTTGAAAATCGGCGCCGACAACATCGTCATATTTAACGATTACGAGAGCATGAAGGCCATGATCGCGAACGAGCTCTGCGACGGCCGGCCGATCGGCCCGGTCTACGACTCTCGCACCTTTGGCAAACGACAGGGTTAGCCACTTTTTGCCGATTCTTATCGATTTTCTTTATGAAAAAAAAAAAAAAAATACAAGAGAGCAAGATTGAGCAACAACGTTGATGGTACGTAGGTTTGCTGGTGGTGGACGGGCACCTTTGGGTCGAGCAACGCCGATTCATCTTGCGTCACCTGCGCGACTTTGGCTTCGGCCGCACCGACATGGCCGTGCAGCTGGAGCACGAGGCAGCGCAGCTCGTCAAGCACTATGACGCTCTGATACGCGAAAAAGCCACCAGGAGCCGTGCCGATTTTTCACGCCAGACCGTCACCAGCAGGAACAAAAACGGGCAGATCTATCAGCTGGAGAAGGAGGATCGGGACGATGACGAGCCGGTCAAGAGGAGGCCGCTCACTGCCCAAGACTTTTACATCAAGGTCGGACCGGATGCGGAGATCGAGGATACGGCCAAGGCGCCCGGCATCGTCGTCGAGATGGAGGACTTTTTCGGGGTGCCGGTGCTCAACACCCTGTGGTGCATGATGGCCGGGAAGAGGTGAGCGTGGACTGTTTTTTATTCTGCTCCCCCCCCCCAAGCATACACTTAATATTAGTTAGGCCNTTTATTACGTTGGTGGTCACCACAGGTACAACATCGACGACAAGGAGCTTAACCACCTGCAGAGGATACTCAACGCGATATTTCGCGACGTCGACATGCACGGTTGCATGTTCAACCACTTTCCCTTTCTGAGGTACGTTGCTCCCGAGCTGTCGGGGTACGCCAAGTTCATCGAGCGACACCAGGAGCTGTGGAAATTCCTCACGGTACGGGCCATTTTGTTCTTTGTTGCGCTCTATACGTACAATCGAGGCTTTGAAAGTTGCACTGTATTTGTTTAGGTGGAGCTGGACAACCATAAGAGGACTTTTGATGCGGCGTCGCCGCGGGACCTCATGGACGTGTACCTGCAGGTTTTGCAATCGGATGACCTGGACGATACTTTTTCGGGTAAATCGAACGTGTGTATTGAACATGGAAAAACACTTTGTCACGCTCGCTGTTTCGCAATGTTTCTCTCTCTTCCTTTCCTCATTTATATTATTCTAATGTGTGCAAATAGGGTGTCATGTGATTATCGGCGAATCGGGTGTCAAAGAAATATTAGACGCAACTAAGTATATACATGTACTGAAAAAAAAAAACAAAAAAAACAAAAAAGCGTGAAGGGAAAAAAAAAAAAAAAAAAAAAAAAAAGAAATCGGCACACGTGTCCCACAGAGTCGCAGCTTCTGTCGATCTGCGTGGATTTGTTCATGGCCGGCTCGGAGACGTCAGCGAAGGCCCTGTGCTTCGGCTTTCTCTTTCTCGTGCTCAATCAGGAAGTGCAGAGGCGAGCCCAGCGGGAAATCGACGCGGTCATCGGACGCGATAGGCTGCCGTCCTTGAACGACAGACCGAGGTCGGTTTCTTCCCATCTGCTATACACATATTTATATACACGTACCCGTTCAATTAATTATACCTAGACTTGATTATTAGCTATTATAATTTGCCCACGTTATTGATTTACCTATTGAGAAATACTTTGTTTTTTGTTTTCAAGATTATTTTGGGAGTCAATTTAGTTTTTTGATCATACGTATATGTGATTTAATATTACCTGTTTGGTCTTTTTAACTATACTTAGTCTTGACTGGTGCGATTTTTCATAGATTGTTGTTGCAGGATGCCGTACGTCAACGCCATCGTTTTGGAGTCCGTAAGGATGTTTATGGGTCGAACGATGAATATTCCGCATCGAGCTCTCAAAGACACCCACGTCATGGGGTACAGGATACCTAAGGTATTTCCATAATTTTTTCTCGTCTTTTTTATGGTGTTTACCTGTAAAACAACTAAGCCATATTGGTGTACGTCAAGGCAAGCATTATGTATTTTTTTTTTTTTCAATGCAAATAAAATCGATACGTTTACAGGATAGCATGCTGCTCGTGAACTTCAACAGCATCCTGATGGGCAAAGTTTGGGGCGACCCCGAAGAATTTCGGCCCGAAAGATTTATAGACGAGTCCGGGAAAATAGTCTTGCCGGATCAGTACCTGCCGTTCAGCTTTGGTATGTATTTTCGTGATTAGCGTTACTCATTTAAATGGTACATATTTTTAGGCACGACCAACGTATTGGAGTTTTTTTGAATCTTTTTTTTATTCAAGACAAGAGAAAACTCAACTTTCATTATTATTTGTACAGTGTATAGTTTATTTCTTTATTTATTTATTTTTTTTCACAAATGAGCAAATGCTCAACATTAATTAGTGGTAAACGTAAAATAAACAAACCAAAATTACAGGTAAGCATCGTTGCATGGGTGAAGTACTGGCTAAAAGCAACATATTCATGATAACAGCAGCTTTGCTCCAGAACTTTACGTTCTCGCCTGTTCCAGGCGAGGAACCACCGAAAAATGAATACATTGATGGTGTTACCGCCAGCCCTAAGCCATACCGAGTTTTTATGACAAAACGAATATAGTTGAATGTTGGATTACAATGTAGTTCCGAGATCATGTTATTTTCATAAAATTTTTCTCGTTTATTATTTTTTTTATTAAATTTACATAATTTAGTGCATGATATTGTTATATTCGTGCATTACTCATACGCGTTATTTCCTTTACCTATTCATAAGATACTCAAAAATGGAAAAAGTCTGTGGATATCATTATGTTAGTTGTAGCAAAATCTCGTAACATTTGTTTGTTCTGTACAATGCAATTAAAATTAACGTTGTTAAAAAGTCCTTTTACTATAACACATATTGTTACCACACAATTCAGTTTAGACATATTTGGTAAAAAAAAAAAAAAAAAAAGAATGAAAATTGATCAAAATGATTTATTTTTCAACTTTAAGAATAGATCAGTAATATACACTTATACTTGATCCATTCAATAATCATTGTATTAAATTAAGAGAACTCTCTTGACACAACTGAACATGCTATTTGAAATTCATTAAATATAGTTTTAAATCATATTGGACAAAAATTATTGACATAGATTACTTTTATCTTAGACACACCAAGTTCTATTAAACAATTATCATTACTTCTATCTATCATTATTGTATTGAGCGGCAATACCAAAAATGCGGAGCCTTTCCGATGGTAAGTTGAGTACATCTAATAAGGAAAAAAAGTCTTTAATCCATGTGTTCTAAGGTTTGTACATTTTGCACGATGTTGCATTTTCAAGCCTTGATTCAATTTTCTGAGTCTTTATCTTTATCCTTATCGCTGTATTCCGAACTTGCTCTGCTTTTTTCATCCGATCTTTTTTCTGATCTATCCTCTTTTTCTGATTTCCTCTCCTTATCCTTATCCTTGGATTTTTTTTCGCTCCTCTCACTTCTTTCGCTTTTTTCGCTCCTTTCACTCCTCTCACTCTTTTCACTTCTTTCACTTCTTTCACTCTTTTCACTTTTTTCACTTCTTTCGCTCTTTTCGCTTCTCTCGCGAGTATCATCACTTTTATCTCTATCGTCCTTACTACTGCTGCTTTTAGATTTTCCGTTGCTTTCAGATTTATCTTTACTCTTATGCTCTTTGTCCTTATCTCGGGATTTCTCGGAGTACTTTGATTTAGATGACTTTGATTTGGACTTGGATCTTGATTTGCGAGACCGAGATTTCGATCTCTTGCTTCTAGAACGAGATCGACTTTTTTTCCTGGAAAAAAATAAACAAGTTGAATGCGTTTCCAACAAATGAAAAAAAGGAACTGAGGATCGTGAGTATTTATACGAAATTGTTTACACCTTTGAAAGAAAATACGTATTTCTAAGCTTACCTTCCAGGAGATTTTTTCTTTCTCTCCTTGGACTTGGACCTGGATCTTCTGGATTTTGATCTTCGAGACCTGGATCGTCTGGATCTTGATCGAGAACGGTGACGCGTTCTGGAGCGAGAACGATGGCGTGACCGTGACTTTTTGCGTCGATCCCTTGATCGGGAACGTTTACGCGAACGTGAGCGTGACCGACGTCGATGTTTGGAGCGTGAACGCCGATGACGAGAACGTGAGCGTTTGCGAGAACGGGAGCGACGTGACCGTCCACGGGACCTTGACCTGAAATTTAAAATATTTAGCTATTACGTATTTCTACTAAATAAGCGACTCGTGTAAAACTAAGTTTAAAGACTTGCCTAGTTTTTCTGCCACGTGAGCCACTGCGACTGCGTTTCTCCTTGGATAGGATTCCAAGCATAGGATCTATTGCCGCGGATATAAGATTGTGGGCTTCCTTGACTCGCGACATGGCCTCCTCGATTTCCTTCTGAGCAGCCTCATTGCTTTTGGCTTCAGGTTTAGCAATTCCTACGGTTGAGTGAGTCATCTTGATTGGTTTGTCATTAAGCATTTCACCATTGAGCTGAAGTGCTGGTACAATGGACATTTGATCCGAGAATTCGACTAGCATAAAGTTTCCAGATGGTTCCGAGTCCCTAGTGCATTTCCTGATGTATTTCACTTCAACGTGGTGGTTACCAAAGAAGTCCATGACTTGCTGTTCAGTAGTGGAAGAATCTAAATTACCAATAATCAGAGTTCTCCGAATTTCCTCGATCCTCCTGCTATCCAAGTGTCCAGGTAAATTTGGATACAGCGGCAAACCATTAGCATCAAGTTTAGGGTCAGTTGTGGTTATTACATGGTTTGGTGGTATTCCTTCGATGGCATTCACCATGTTAGATGGAAGTTTATGCTCAGATGGATACAGACCTGAAAGACACATATAATGGATGCTTACATTTGGTAATAGGCAAATAACCTGATTTCTCTGTTTATTTATTATGATAGGCACAAAATACTCATTTTAACTATACAACAAATAAAACAGGTCCAACAGTGAAAAAGTTTACTCTTATATTACCTGGTACAACAGTTCCATTGTTCGTAAGTTCCAAAGCCCTCTGTTCATCGGGGATGTCTCCGTTTGGCCAGGGAATGACGATAAGTGCTCTGTCGATGAAGACAGTGTTGGTCATATGTTGGGCAACGGAAACCTGGTTGTGGTCGTGAAATTTGATGTAACAGATTCGCGACTGAACCGGCACTGCCACATCCCTGATGGTCGGGTACAACCTGATGTCCTCGATTTTGCCCAGGTAGCCGAAGAGCGTCTGCATCTGGTCTTTGGTGGCCTGGGGCGCGATGTTCGTCACTTGGACGACTTTCGTTGAGCCCACCGCCATGGCTGTAGCGACGCTCCTTCACGACGGCGTTGTTTGAGGTTAGCTGCGAGGACGCGTCCCCCTTCTTTTTCTTTCTTCTACAGCTGTAGGTTAAGTAATGACTAAAATGTATAAATCTGCACCCTCTTATCGATTATCAGTTATTTCACGATTCTCTTTTTAAATCACCTCACCTCACTACCGATCTTTCTGACGATTTTCACATGTTTACGGAGGCGGTGGAAAAACGAACGCTTGCCTTTTTCGGAGCATCACCTGCATTATCTAAACATGACCAGATCCATATGAACGGCGCGTGAAGTGAGATACATTTATATATATAAGAAGTGACCAAGAGGGGAGGGGAGACATCACAGTCCACAGTCCATATTCCATATCCGAAAAAGTGTGGAATATGGGATGTGATTGGAACATGATACTGGCGCCTTTTATTCAAATTTGAAGCTGATAATGGTTTTCGCAACGAAATCATCGTTATTTATTTATGCTTTATGTGTACTGCGTCGTAGTTAAACGTAGATTTTTAGTTTTTAACAAACAGCCTGGGAATTAATAGATCTAGGTATTTCTTTGTCAAAATTTTATCAAAAGTCCAAAGTCATTTTTGAGATAGTTCGACTCTCAGTGTGACTCATGAACAACAATAATTTCAACATTTTAAATTAATTTTTACTTAAGATATGCGAATTTCAAAGTGATATAACCAACGATGGTGACTACAAATCTGAGTAAATGAAACTTTGCAGATCAATAAGTCGAAAAATAATAATAATAAATTAACCAACTATAGTTTAAATTAAATTTGTTTTTGTGGGTTTAACCTGAGAAAGGTGTATCACGCTTACAAGTCGTGGCAGCGCAAAAAACCGAGAAAGGAACGTCGTCTACGGGGTTACGAGGACAAAAAGCCCAAGCACATGTTTTGGATTGCTTTCGCGCAGCTGACCTACGTAACTTTACATTCTGGTAAAGAGAGCACGGTGTAAGATGTACACTCAGTGGAACTCTGATCTGTCCCCGACCCTATTTCAGGACTATGGCGCGAAGTACTGTTCAATAATAGGGTCCGGGACAGATCAGAGTTCCACTGAGTGTACGTGAAGTTATGTGTAGTAATTAAAGTAATTACTACTAAGTAATATATGCCATATGGTGGATTTTATTAAACCATATGAATATCTATATTTTTGGAGGTCGACTTTTGGGTGGAAAATAAATTTTAAACTTGCCGCAAATAACGCAGAAAATATCAACTTATTATTTTCTATGTATCAAATTAGTTGCGGCTGGTTTATTGTATGGCTCTATTGTAAGTTGTAATGATCATTTTGATCAGCGCCATCTAGCGTTGCGAATTTCTGAACCAAGAAGTGGCCCTAAACTTTTGAACCAGAGCTTTAGCGCGTAGAGCCATTTAGTCTATTATAAACCAGCCGCAACTCATGATGAAGCTATAAAATAAAAAAACAACAATACATGTGTTTTTGGCGGCAGGCTAACAATCTATCTTATGCTCAAAAATTTATCTTCAAAAGTATAAACACATAGGTCAATTTTTTGGTAGAAAATAGATTGTTAACTTGCCGTCAAAAACACATGTATTGTTGTTTTTTTATTTTATAGCTTCATCATGAGTTGCGGCTGGTTTATAATTGATTAAATGGCTCTAAGCCCTTATGCTCGGTTTCAGAATTTTAGAGGCCACTTTTGGCGAAAAAATGAAAACCGCTAGATGGCGCTGATCAAAATGATCATTACAACTTACAATAGAGCCATATAATAAACCAGCCGCAACTAATTTGATACATAGAAAATAATAAGTTAACATTTTTTACGTTATTTGCGGCAAGTTTACAATCTATTTTTTACCCAAAAGTCGACCTCCAAAAATGTAGATATTCATATGGTTTAAAAAAATCGACCATATGGCATTACTTAGTAGTAATTACTTTAATTACTACACATAACTTCACGTACATCTTACACCGTGCTCTCTTTACCAGAATGATAAAATCAGAGACTGTAAAGTTACGTAGGTCGTGGTGACTATCGTCTGCTATTTTAACTGCAGTTAAGGAACAGAGTCAAGGTAGTTGACTTACCGACCTGACGGTAACGTAGAGCGCAACCTTAAATTACTTGCTGGTGACGATTGCGGAAAACACCCATTACTTGCTGGTGACGATTGTGGAAAACACCCGTCGCCCGTCGGCCGTCATTCTGTTTTGTGTGTTACCCCACGGGACGTACCAATTTTGTTTCATCAAAACTTTAATAGATGGCGCCACTAAACATTTTTTGCAGTGTTCCAGTAAAGGTTTTTACTTAACTCTGCGCCAACGACAAACTATATACCTACCTACTTAATAATACGTCCAGTTCATTGCATCCGATGTAATTTCAACGAACGGGACTCACGGAAAAATCTTTATGAAACACAAATCATTGTTACGTCTAGTTGAGCAACCAATCAATGAGAAAACCAATGAGGGAGTAAAGTGGTATCCGTAATCATAATATAATCCCAATAAATTGAAAAGCTACAGCTTTTTGGGCACAAAATTAAAGGTCGATAACTCCAAAAATCATACACTTGCGTATCCGTCTTTGGGAGAGATAGGTATGTTCCACTTGCGAGTCGGCGACACTTATACGGACGTTGGAAAAAAATCGGTTCCCCCATACCGGGAGCATTTCCCGGTTGGTTGACTTGAAATAACTTTTTTACCAGGAGATCTTTTGGTACACCTTAATTACACTCGCACGCATCGCCTGGCTTTATTCATCCATTCCAAGCACTTCTCACGGGGCAGAGCACTACAAGCACGAGCGATCGGTTTTTAGCTCAAAAGAAAAAAAGTATACCCCCGCTGCTGCGGCAGCGAGACATAATGTTTCATCGACGACGTCGACACGGAGCTCATAATCCTGTACACCCGGTGAAAGCAAAAGCGGATGTATGTAAGGTACAAGTACGCGGCCGCGGCCGAGGACAATTCTGGGATAATACCCCGATCGACACAATGGCCCCTGTTTTGTATATACATATACATGCATATACCTCTGTTCGCGATGAGTTGGTTATTCGTCAAATATCGCTTACCATCAGGTATTATCCATACGGCGAGAGATCGGCGCCCTCGTGTATATTTGCCTCATTTTTCGTTTGCTCCTTATATTCGGTCTTGTACGAGAGGTGGGTTTCCGGTTTCCACGGCGATGATGTAGTACTCGACGACGATCGCTGCTGTGTACTCGTATAATTTATGTACCGAAGAAGCGCGCGAGTCGCGAAAAATCGGCCCTCGCTTCCGAGACAATCGGCGGCCTTTTTTCGTTGTACTTATATACTGGCTCTTCTCCTCTTTCTTGTTGTTGTTGTTCTTCAATTTTTTCCTTTTTTTCAATACAGATCGGTATCAGGATACTGTAATAACGCCTGGAAGCTCCTCGTTTTTTTTTTTTTTCATTTATTGTGTTTCGTGAGTTTTGGATAAAGGATACGGAAAGATTTTCTCAGGTAGAAATCAGCGCGCGTATTATTTTCTTTGGTTCATCTCGTATAAACTGTAGAAATTTCAGATTCACGAGGTAACGATTAGAAAAAAGCTCGGCACGCGTGGGACGGCCTCTGTTACTGAAATATTTGAAAATCGCGTGGGTAACGAAAACGAAATATGGAAACACACCGCTAAAACATAATAATTATTATACCATCACTACGTGATAGGTACAGACTAAAAAGTTGGTCATACTATTTGCAACACACGGGATGATTTGCAAAATGTTTCAGTTTATTTATCACTCGAGCGTGCATAAGTCAGTGTTGCAAAAAAAAAAAAAAAAAAAAAAAAAAAAAAAGAATGAAAATTGNCAAACCATCAAACAATAACCCGCCTCGGGGGCTCGTGAAATAAAAAATACGGAGAAAAAAAAATGAACGGTAACAAACTTTTGAATAGAGGAAAATGAAACGCGAGTAAGAAGCTGATACTAGAGAGACAAGGGAATGTAAAAAAAAAAAAAAAAAAAAAGAGATACTCACCAAAAAGGGAATAAACATATCGTTGCCGCGCAAACAGCGAATCCAATAATTCATTCGCGTTTGAAAAATTGATTATTTAAAAAGTTTCCCAAGTGCTTGGTGAGAACATAAATCGTTCAACTGATTTGTCGTTGTTTTTTTCCCTCTCAATCGTAAATCTAACGACCTCTGATTTTTATTGCAATAATAGCCGCGATTAAACATACATGCACTCCGGTGGAATAAAAAAAAAAAAAATCGGTCGCGCGCAACACAGTGCGAGATACATGTATATACTTACTGACCCAGGTGACCCCGAAAAAAGTATAATATGGTGCGTAAGTGGGCCACTTGGTATATTACGGTATCATACACATGTGCAGGGTGCATGAGACATCGTCCAAGTTGTTTTCACTCGCGGCGGTGCCGATCGTCCGCGAGTCATCGCCGATTGTATATGTACTGTACTTGTACGGATGTGTACACCAACTTGACCGCGTGGCTTCGAGGACCGAATAAGTGTATACACGCGTCGACTGATATGCGCGAGGAATGTGTCACGGCACGCGCTTTATTTGTATGGGGTTACACATACACGGGTATGATAATCACGATGCGGCTCTCTCTCCGGCAGCGCATTTTAGTTGTCTAACGGGTCTCGATGATAAAACTGCTTATGAATATTTATACGCGGCTCTCCCTCCCTCTCTTTCTCTTGGTTATGACCATTGGAACTTTGGACGGCTGATCGTTCGATGGAACTTTTTTTTCTGCGTACCGATTTTGACGATTAGTTATACAGTTTTTGAAACGAGCGATTTGGACGGCGTTTTAACAGTTTTCACTTTACTCCGATTAGCCGATTTTTTTTTATTACTGGAATATATCAAGACATAGTGTATCTTGTAACGAGCATCAGGAGGACTCTTTAATGAATGGAGATTTAGGTATCGCGATCGAAAGTTTTTTTTTTTTTTTTTTTTTTCATCATGCGAAGAGGAGGCACTAAATTATTTTTGGCCAACGCAAAACGGACGATCGTCGCGGTGTAGTATACCATCGGAAGCTTGATTGGATGAATAATCGTTTGCTCGAGTGGCGATTTAATGGTGATTAAAAAAAAAAGAGAGTCGCGATCGGTAAGTGTACACACTTGGGCAGAGAAAGCCTAATTTATGCACGAACGCGCGGTTCGCACCTGCGAAGCCCAATCCAAATCGGTGTATCATGGCTATCGTA